GTTCTGTTAACAATATGGGCGTGGTGATTTTTGTGTCTGAATGTTTTCTTAACAATTCATCATCTACTCAAGTGAATGTTGTCAAATTCGTTTGTGGGCGTTTTGACATACAACGACGTGGATATTTAATACAACTAAAGATGTCACGAATAGGCAGTCCATTTTGGGTTCGTACCATTGCCAAATTTTGAGTCGAGGACTATATATACAGGGGATGTCCGAATGGCATACCAAAATCCTTTATTGGAACAGAACATGTTCACCCTCAAACTCTCTTTTGTCCTCGACAGTTGTGCTACAAATCTGTTGTTTACATTAAACTGTTGAGAGGGTTATTGTGACCATCACAAGCTAGTATTTTTACTACACATCAGTATTTTACTGTCCATCTGCAACTACAATGTGATGTCATTCAAAATCTATTAGTCATGCAACACTGATAATGTGCAATGTTCGCTCACGCAATATTTTTTCTTCTTTTTGGAGAATAAATGGCAAATGACATTGTACATACCCATGCCATACAAAACATAAAGCACCAATGCAGTAATTAACATAACATAGTTATACAACAGAGATGAACATGTAGATATGCACCTATTACCAGTATATCATAATATACATTATGATCAAATGTTTAATATTCAAAGTGCCCTATAAATTGGGCATCCCCTCAGATGCTTCTGGATTAGCTTAATTGAGGACCTCGTGGTTTTATCCTAAATTCTCATTACTTGAGGGCCATGGAGCAAGGTGAAATATATTCTCATTTACAACAATGTGGGCACTACAACTGTTCAAATTTAGGTTCAAAATGAGTTGTCTTAAGGAAAACAGCATCTGTAGCCAAATTTAACATTTCCGCTAAAGATCAATTCAGTTCTCAACTCTACTATTCAAATTATTGTTTATAATCTCCCAACTGAATCAGACATCTTTGATATTAGACTTGCAGGTGCTACACCCCCCCTCCATCCCCCACTAACAAAATGCTAGACAATGGCAGCCCACGGCATAAATGTTATTTCACTCATTATATTCTATTTGTTTACACATTCATACACGGCTACATGCATAACATACAAGACGGAATGTTTCTTACACTAGATACCAGCCAATAACACCCCCCCCCAACTCATAGAGACTGCGTACAGTTGATTATAGTTCCTGGGCTCCCTGTGGTTGTACTTTAATCACTCAGGGTGCAGTGATAACAAGCAGTAAAATAGCTGCTGCAGGACAATTCAAGATTTGAAAATACTTTCAGCATATGCTGTAGGCTTCTGTACAAAATACCCTTCAGGGATGACGTCAAAAGATCGATGTCGGATATACTGGTAAAGCTTATTTGCTTTAGTTTTGGGGTGGGGGTGACCTCAAAAAGTTTCCATCTTACAAAAACGATTTACCGGTAATTTGTAATGAAGACAAAAAAAAAAATGTATTTGTACTGATAGTTTTTTTTTTTTTTTATATCCAATCATGGACACATAACTGAAAAAACCCACATCCATGACAAGAAAATTGTTTGGTCCGAGTGTAAATATGTACGTCAAATGAGGTCAATTTCAGGGCATGGACATAGAACAAACTGCTATGACACACTACTGTCAGATTATCAATATGTATTTAACGGTGAATGCAGTCAAGATTCAGTGAGGGGGGGGGGGAACTAAAGGGATTAAGTTTTTTTTATCCTACATTGAACTTTTGATGTTCCTAACCAGTTTTCTGCATTGACATTAAAACACCACCACCCCAGGTGAAACCAGCAATTCGCACAGAATTTCAAGTCAAATTTAAGCTCCAGATCAGTGTCAGCAGAAAATTGTTTAGTAAAGCTTGCAAGCATATGGCTGGCACATTGAAGCCTCAACATCACCACAGTTTTGCAGCTTCTTGTGACTATACAAATGCTAATACTTTTGAAGTTGCGAAAGTCATTTCTATAATTTCAGTCTTGGGCAAAATATTTGGTTGTTTCGACCAATGGAAATAGATCCACATTTTAATGATTCTACAGGCATTGGGCACATTAGCAATTTACTGTTGTCTCAAAGCTGATGGATCTACTGGCTTCCGAAGGGAAACAATGCTGGCAAGGCAGCTACATTGTCAGCCAATTAGCTATTGCTGGTTAGATGCACGAAACAAATTTGCAGCCACAGTAAATTCTAAAACACAACTAACATTGACCAAGTATTTAATTTGAAAAACTTTATTCTGGATAAACTGGAACATAATTTTACACTTTGAATACACTTTTCAAATACAGTTTGAGAGGAGACTAATTTTTCACTCATGTTTTGAGAGCATGAATTAGTTTCACAACACAACACAACAAAATAGGATTGTCCTCTCTTATTAACCCTGTTAAACATTACAGAAGCTAAAATACATACAGGAACAAGACCATTACTTTATGATCTACAACGAAATACAACATGACAAACGGCTGAGAGGAACAACCCAGTGCCTTTATAATCAACACAGATTTAAAAAAAAAGAAAAAAAAGACGAAAATACATAATCAAACAAATCCAGTCTGACCAGGAAGGCAATTTATTCTAGCCCAGTCAATGTTTCAGGCATGGGTTGATCAGGTTGTGTATGGATGTATTGCTAGCATAAGATTATTAAGTGTACAGAACATACAGATAAAGGTACTTGAGATGTTCACATAATTGAAGCTACTATATCATGTACATTCGCTATTTACATATTTATCATGCATTAGTTTTGTAACCTGTCTTAGACTAATATTGGTATTCAACTTCCAAATACAATTTATGTAAATTATTCTTCAGTCTTCACATCTTCTGTAACTGTGGCTGTGGTTGTTGTTTCTTGATCAGAGTTTTCTGACTTAATTGAATTTGGTTGATGTTCTTCAGATTTATCTAACTTGATTTTCGGTGATTTTTTTGGAGTTTCTTTTTCAAATGTAGGGGACCTGAAAGAAAAAGTAAATGGGATGAAAGATGATATGTGTACTTATCTTTTTTTTGAGCAGAATGTGCTATTTCTCCAGTTACTCTACAGGTTATACTAATGTTCACACTATAGTTAAGAAATTTAGAAATTATCAAGAATAACTTATGTGCTTGTGCATAATCAATATTTAACATCACAAAAAACAAAACAAAAGTATCTTATTTGCTCCATATAGCACACGTGTATATAAATAACAGGCATGACCATAGAACAAATAAGACATTTTAATGATCAAGTACTGATAAAACAAATGCAATTTTACTAGTGCACAGAACGTGTATGAAAGTAGAGGGAAATTCATTTGCACCAAAAACAGTCATCAGAGGAAATAATTTTCTGATAGATGAACGCAAAACTTAAGTTCCATCATGGACTTGGTTTGATAGCCACTTAAATATTACAAAAATCAATGACCATATTCAACTTTTTAGACTTGCCAGTGTGTTCCACATCAAACATCGTATTCATTACATATATAAACAATTAAGTACATGTGCTATAACTTAGAGGGGAAAACATGAAAAGATCAGTGTATGATAAATCTCAAACGCTTTGTTGGGGGGGGGGGGGGAATGTCGAACAATGATCAGATGCAAATGTTTTTATGCACTACTAAAATAGTGTATTTCTGCAATTGTAATTTCAGGTATGGCAATTTTGTTTACTATCCAGTGATCAGGGATAGTGTTTGACCGAGGTGTAACACAAAATACCGATACGTTTTTATTTTATATTTTACATTGAACTTTTTATGTTTCCCCCTTATGGACCTGTGTTGGCAATGAGATGAGTTGTTTATAATTGTTATCAGGCTGAATCTATTATTACAGCAGACTTTTCTATTTCAGCAAACCTTCTAGCGGGGCTGGTGCCATCTCTTCTTGGTGAACCAGATTCACTCCTGCCAGCAAATAAAAATTCATATTTCATAATTAGTATAAACTTGATACAAGAGTGTAAAAAATTGCATGTAAATGATAACGCGTGCATTATTATTGTGGTAGGTATGAATATTTGAGAAACAAGGCCCAAGTGTCTTTTCATCATCCCCAGTATGTGCATATACCTCTAACTACATTTAACCAATCACTTATGCAAATCACTTTCAAATTTTAAATGATAGTCAGTGTAAGGGAGTTTTCTAGATCATTGCGAGTTTTAGTAAAACATGGTGCAATTAGTTGACACACTCCATCAGAGGAGGGCTGCCAGAAGTGTTTGCATAGGCAGTTGATTAGATGAAGCCGGAGGCATGTGTACCAAAGGCCATGAATTAGCAACAATAGCAATTTTAGCAATGAAAGTCAATTACAAATGACTCAAAAGAGCTTATATAATGAATAGGTCGAATAATATTTCTGACAATAATTATAGTCTGCATCAACAAATAAGATCTAAGATAAATAAAATATATTTTGAGAGTTTAGTCTAAACATCTTGTGTAGCATACCTCCTTTTCCGAGGGCTTTTACTTGAGCTTCTCAACGATCCAGATCTGCTTCTGCAATTTAATAAAGTGTTATTAATTCAAGTTTCTTGTTGAAATTGCCTGGTCAAAGTTCGTTTATAATGGAATATAAGAATGTCATACCGTTCTTTTTGGCTGAACTAGCTGAATTTGTAATTTTGTTAATTCATAAAGCAGCTAATTTAAAAGGAAGTATAGTCCCACAATAACATTGTTGACACTTCAGATAAATTAAAATGACATGTGGCCGTTTCATTGTGTTTTAGAGTATTTTTGTGCACCAAAGATATTCACTGAACTCAGACATCAAATAAACAAACCTTTTGTGATTTTTACTTGGAGCTGGGGACCGCGATTTTGAGCGGGAACGAGATCTTGAATAACTTCTGCAATAAAAAAGAACAGTTGATAAAATAATTTCAAGAAAGTATCAAAGCAATTAAAAAGGCAAGTCAACAGCATTTAAGGAAATCCATCTCAATCTTTCTTGAAAGTCAGAAACAAGTTTGATATTTGCAACTGATGCAAATGATGACGTGTTTGAAATCATTTGGTTGAGGTATTCCAAGATAAAGATCTAAATCTATGCATGCATGCCTGCTAATAATGTACAACTGGGCTAGAGTATAATATTGCACATTTTTTAACTTGGCTTTGGTCAAAATAAACACTGCCAATGTGGAAAGCAGAAACTATTCAATTGTGTTGAGCATAAAAACTGCATATTTGTTGAAAATTATTATCAGATAGGAAAATGAGTTCTTCACCATTCCACGGGGTAATTTACTTACCGTTTTTTGGGACTTTTGCTCTTGTGCTTGGACAATGAACGACTTCTAAAAGTGAACAAAAACATGCAAGAATTAGAGGGAAATTGGGTAAGCAGAAAGAAAGATGTTTTGTTGCAAAAAAACTTTGCCAAATATCAGATGACTAGTTAAAATTAAGGAGGTTAAATGAGAGAAAATTTGGTGAGCAACATTTAGCCGGTTGGTAAAGTTTTGTTCAGAAGAGTACTGTATGTACACTAATTTAGGCATCCCCCAAATGTCAAACCTAACAAAGGAATTCTACCGTATTTATCCGGGTATAAGCCCAGAGTCTTGAACATGGAAAATTGCCAAAAAGAAGGGGTGGGCGTTTGCCAGGAGATCCCTGGCAAAAAAAACGAAAATTTGCTAAAATCGGCTACACGCAGTTTGATCGAACTGCGGCAGGGAATAGAACGGCAAATGAAAACATGCAATGGAAATAAATGAACAATATGCAACACTAGAAGTAGTACAAAAATAATGTATTGCTTATAATGTGACAAAAAACCAGAAATAATAAAAATCGACAGTGAGGAATCATTTGAGTTAGGATTTTCCCGCCGCGCCAACAAACACGCGTGAACTCAAAATTAATTAAAATGTCAGGGGTTAAACTGCGTAAAATGATTTCCGGCTTCGACAAATTACGCATCAACCGTCATACAAGATCAATAATAATTTACAAATGTACATAGTAAAAATTATAAAAATTCATAGCTGTTTGAAAAAAACTTCTCAGATCTTTATTTGTACGTTCATTGCCATCTTCGTCAAACTCAAAACCCTCAAAGTCCAAGTCGGCGTCACTGTAGCCGTCGAACAAAATCCCTACAACTTATTCCTGAAGTTCGTCGATATAGTCCCACACAATTTGGACTTGGCACTTTTAATCCACGGATTTCGCAGTCTGCCAGCTTGGCACTTTTCATTCATGTCTAATCATAATAAAGAGACAGAAAAATGGGGTCGCTCTGCTGCGATGGCACACGATGCTTTTGTGTACAGTCTAGCAACGTCTTTGACCTTTATGCATCTGCTTTACTGATTGGCTAATAATGACATCACGACTAGTATTTCATCATAAAGGTCAAATCGTGACATGCTTTTT